AGCAAATTCTTCAGCGGTTACCACGAGTTGGTCACTGAGAAGCAGATCCAACCGCAAGAAGTGATACATTTCGATGAAATGCATTCAGTGTTGGCGGCCATAAAAGTGGCCAAATTCGAGACCTCCCTCTTGGGAAGCATTGAACGCAAGTTTCCCTTCTTTTCGGTGATGTCATCGATTCACTCACACCTCTGTTATGTCCACAATGTGCTCAAAGCCTACGACTACGTGACGAATAAACGCAAACTCTTGTCCATTATTGTGGACCAACTCTTGCAGATTGACTCCAAAGTGAGTTCAGTTAGGAGTGAACCGACTGAAGAGGTGTTCACTATCGACGACTGCAACGCATCCAAGTCTGACACCAATGCCGCCAAACAAGTGGACATTTTGGACCATTTGTTGGAACTGTTTATGGATTTCATTGATAAGAAGTTCGCGAATAATAGCAAAGAAGAGACGGAAGAGATGTTGAAAATGTTTAAACAAATCCTTTGGTCCGAAGTATTTGCGGTCGAGTTGTCTAATCACTTGCCATACATTTGGCTCTATCTGTGTTCGCTGTCCAACCAGTTCTTCGAGCAGTTGATTGAATATCTTTGGGATCTGAGTCTCAATCCCGAGATCAGTGTCGATGTCAGAGAGAGGTCTCTGTATTTGTTGAGTTCTTTGCTGAAGAACTCCACTTTCGTCACCACTAGTAATGTAATGGCTTTCATGAATATGTGTTCCCTTTGGCTGCACCGGTATATCGACCAAAACGACAGAGTTGTCGATCAGTTGACATCCGAGGACACGATATTCTACACCTTATGTCAGATATTATTCGACATTTTCTGCACAATTCACTCAGAATTAGATAATTTGAGTCTAAGACGAGTGAAAGCAATGAATTTTCAGCGTATAATCAAATGCCTGTTGAATCCGTTGTCCGTCTGTAACGGAGACATTGAATCCAAGTTCATATCACTGGCCAGACATCACCAGATCGGGTACTGCACCCACAACAGCGTCCACTCCGGCGATGACCGTCTCAGTCGACCCGCGGATGTGTTTAACACCCGTTCATACGTTTGTCCCAAATCTGGGGCCAGAATTCAAAACCTCTGCAAATATTTCATTCATTCGGACAACAGTTTCAAAGAGAATGAGAGATTCAATCGATTCAATACCAGCGATGATAGCGATCACGTGTTTGGTTCATACAAAATGAGTTATTCCCCGTCGAAGACCCTCTGGCAGAACCTCTTAAGCGATTCCTCACCCAATGAACAGATGGACTTCGATTAAGACATTTAAGACACTAATCATTATTATGTGAAATATTTAATTATTTTTTGTTTCACTTATTTTGTGTACAATTTATTCACTATTATTTAGAAACTATTAATAAATCATTAAAAATACATTTAAGACTAAAGACAACAAATTTGGTGACAATTAAGTGATGAAACGGTTAACCCATTCGTTTGGTCTTTGACTTAACCCCTGTCCTCCTGTACTCCGACCTCTCATTCAAGTAGATGTCTTCGCAGTGATGTCTGAACTCTTGGTTGTGATACCAATCGGCCAAACAGTCCCTCAGACGCGTGTTCTCTGTCCGACACTTAACGACCATAAGAAGTGAACTCTTTTTACAGCATTCCTCGAAAGCTAACCATTCAATGATACCAATCAATGATACCATTCAATGAAATGGCCATAAATTGTGTGGAAATGCAAACCTCTGACAAATTGTGTGCATTTCTCCTTTCGGGCCAATTCTCGCATAATCTTCGGGATCAGTATCTCGTTCTCCACTTTCCGTAGAGTCCTGTCCTCCGGATCTCCTGTATGTCACCGCAAATGGTCGCCAATCAAAGAGAAGTGAAAACATGTGAAAGACATCACCCAATGAGTGGTGATTTACCTAATCCTTTAGGACCTGATGACTGATTATCGGGCAAAACAGACATTTGATAATAAAGTTTCAATAAAAAGCTTTTCAATAAAAAACTTTTCAATACTTTGATTGCATTTAAACCGCAATTCAATTGAGTTTTCAATGCAATGATTGCATAAAAGCGTGAATTGAAAGCAAAATGTAAACAAAACTTTGTTTCATAAGAAATGTATTGAATTGACATTTGGTTTGCAATGCGTTTGAATGGAAAGCAATGCACTTATTGTCGACATTATTAGTGGAAGTGTTATCACATGTGCTCTCATTTGGACATTCATTTCATGATCAGTCGGTGTCTGTGTTGACCACAAATCAGTCATACGTTGCATACAATGCCCTTCGGAGGACCCATTCCTCGTAAGTCTGGTGCCGGCGGTGGCAGGGGTTGGGTGTCTAAAGTCAAGTCCCTATACAATGATCCCTTCAAGTGGTAAGTCACGCGTTTCATTGTCTATACCATTGTCATCATAGATCTGATCCATTGACAGGCAATTAGTGAAGAGTTGGGTGTTCTTTGGCGCCGGCATTGTCTTCGCCCGAGAGTTGGCTGCAATTGATTTGACTCCCAATGCGTTACCAAATGTGTGATCACATGAAACACCGTGTCATTGGTTGTCATATGTCTAAGACTCAGCTTTTTTTGTAACTAAATGTAACAATTATTTCATTGAAATGTCGTTAATATGTATTGTATTTCATATAATAAATTAGTTTATTATTAGTCATCAAATGTATGATTCAATTGTTGTATATTTAGTGCTTATTTTAAATCAAATGATTAACGAGTTTAACAACCAATTCAGTTATTACCGTATAATAGGTGTATATATGACTTGATAAGTGACCTCTCATTTCACTCAAATCTCATTATAAGACCAAATATTGGATTCAAAGTGATGTCAAGCGAAGAGATTATTAGTTTAAAGACATTAGTTTCCGATGTATTGAAAAGTGCTAAAAGTTTGATAAAGGGCTCAAACGACGAGCCGAGTATACGATGGATGCCTTTCAAGACAATTGATTCACAGATTATGAAAGGATTGCTATTAGATTCAGACCATAGCTCACAAGAATTGCATAGTTTTATGGTTTCTGTCAATAATCTGAAAGGTTTGGCAAATGAAGAAAATCTGTTGGAAAATGATTCGAAAAAGTCCGCAAAGACATCACCAGTGAATCAATTGAAAGAATCCGATAAGAATCCATTCAGTGATTCATATTCATTAGTCACAGGATTGGCATTAAATGTGATGATAATCTCATTCCTAATGGTAATCCTATGTTTTCTGCAACTATTCACTCGCTCCGCAAATATGAATATCATTGGGAACTGGATGTCATTCATATACTCATCGCTAGTAATAGTGATTTCGACTTTAATCACATCCGAGACTTACTATTGTCTTATAGGACGCGGAAAAGTTAGGGTTTGGGACTTTTGGGTCAATTGTTTCAAAATTTTAGTGTTTATCGATTTAATATTCTTAACGAAAGTTATTTTCGTCAATTATCCCACAAAAAGTTTCCCTTTTATTCAATACATATTATTTGTTTGTCATTTTTGTCGATTTATGCATTTATTTGTTTTGCAAACTATTGTCAAAATGTTGTCGAGAAAGAGCACACAATATAAGTCCAAATTAGCCCAATATATCGTTTCCAATGGAATCAACTATTAGATGCTTTTCGTTCAAAACTCTAGTTTTTATATCAAAATATTTTTATGTTATAAAATAAATTTCTTCCTAAAAATGTGAATTCTTTTATTTGTTAAAATATTATTTCATCTATTATTCAATTCATATAATTTCATAGATTTTCATAAATCACAAAAGAGTTTATTTATTTAAATGAATAAAAGATTTGTTAAATAAATAATTTATTCAATGATTGCATTGATACAGCATTTAGTTTTAAATTCAAAAAATAATTTTTAAGAACTCAATATTCAAAACTTAATTATAATATAATAAATAAATTAGTTTTATATGCTTTAAGACAAGAACTAATCTTGATTACTTTAAGACAAGTTTAATAAATGGTTTAAATAAATAATTTTACATAAGAAAACACATTGAATTGATTACTACAGTACCTATCCCTTTAGCTACAATTCTTTGTAATCAATTCATTGTTTGATTTGTTTGCTACTAAAAGTCATATAATAAAGATTTTTATTCTGTAAATATGTTACTAAACAAATAACCAAAATTTACACATTTGTTATCTCTATAAAAACCGCTTAAACTAAAAATATACTAACATTTTCGTCGCAATGGACTTGCCGTCAATTTTTGCCATTTCTTTCTTAATAACAATAATGGTATCAAATGTTTCAACGAATGAACACTTCTATAAAATACAAAATTTACCGAAAGATGAGTTTGTTTTGACCAAATCAGAGGTTAGTTCCGACGATGACTTATTCCGGAGATATTCTAAAGACTTGGGAAAAGTATCAGGTAACAAGTTTTTATAATATTCAAAAGCACATGAAGTTGTGCTTACTTAAGACATTTGCTAAATTCAGATGATGTCGCACATTTCATTGAGAAAACATTACGTGTGGCTAAAGCCTTATTGAGAGATTGGTTGTTGAAAAATGTAATCCAATTATTGATTTTAAA